ACAGGCCGGGGCAGCACCGGCTCTCCCGCCGGGTGTTCCCTCCCGCCCTCCTCCTCACGGCCCCGGTTTCTCCTGCTTCTTCCCGGTTCCTTTCCCCGCCGCTGTGAGCTCGGCTGCCGTGAGCCCGCCTGGCCTAGGCAGGAGGGGTGACACCGGTGGGACTGAGGGCTCGGGGACTGTCAGACCCCGCTGTTCAAACCATTAACCACTTTCAAGTCTGCAAGCAGTGCCTTCAGAGCTGAGCGCTGTGTTGTTGCAGTGTTGATCTGTGGGTAAATGAGGGGAAGATCCCCACCTGGAGCATCATGAGTTTCATGGTGTTACCCACGTGTATTGGTGTTAGTGGGATCCACACGTGGATCTGGGGGTGTGATCAAAGTCTTAATGTGGCTTCCACCCAAGCTGTATGGTGTCTGAACATTAAACTGAGGTTTTCTTTTCCAGGATGTTTGTGCTCTGCTTGTCCAAGCCTGTCAGCTGGTTCACCTTGATCAGGAACACCTTGTCATCAAAGTTTGTCAGCTTATTCATCATCTACTTAACAGATTTCAGGTACAGGGAGTTTGGCCTTTTCCTTCCTTTCCTGCGTGCTGGCTCCCTGGTCTCCCATAAAGCCAGGGAAGCTTTCTGGGACTGTGGAGCCAACCTTCATGCACAGTTTCCTGAATTTTCACTGTATTGCTTCTTTATTCTTATTCTAGTTGAGGTTCTGACCTGTGGCTCTCACATGTAGAACCATTTCTCAGTCAGAAGTGATACAACATTGGAATTACTCTTGGTTAAAGGACACTGGTATTGATTTATCCACTTATCTGTGGTGGTGTGTAATTTTAGCAGCCACATCACCCATGTCTATAACCAATATATCTGGGTGTATGACTCCAGTTGTACATGGCAATGTTTTCTTGACCACAGCCCTTTTCTGTTGTGGCAGGTGATGGTTGATGAACAGAACTTGAATTTTCTTTTTTCCTACTGCATCTCTGCTCTTAAGCAGTGCAGCTCTTGGACACATGTTGAAATCCTGCAAGCCTTAGCAGCTCTTGTTTACAATAATGGACCTAAATGTCAGCAGGTGAGTTTACAAGCTAAGAGAAAGTGACCACGTTCTACTTATTTTCCCCCAAAAGAAAGAATAAAAAAGTAGAATGTTCTCAGATTGCCACACTTACTATGTTAGGAATAATCCCATTTAAATAGTGACTGGTGTTTGTGGATAAGTGGCATTTCAGATGTGATAGGTGTGTTATCAGTAAATAAGAAGATTCTTCCCATGCCAAATACCTCTATCCCTGCAGGCTGCAGCTGCAGGGACCACCTGCTTCAGCCAAAGACACACTGGTATTGAAGGGCATCAGGCTTAATCTGCAGACTAATCACTCTGGTTGGCCCAGGTATCAGGCAGGAAGGACATGGGGAGCCTCTCACTGCACATTACTCAGCAGTCTCCACTGAGGATCCTGAAATTTATCCTGTAGCCAGATCAGGCCTCTAGTGTGCAGTGATGTCCTTGTTTTCAGCTGGGATAGAGCTAATTTTCTTCTTATGAGTTAGAAAAGGATCATAGAATAGGTTGGGTTGAAAGGGACCTTAGAGATAATCTGGATCCAACCCTCCTGCATTGGCAGGAGCATCAGGTTGCCCTGTGTTTTGGATTTAGCATGGGATTTGGGGTGAGAAGAATGTTGATAATAAACTGGTGCTTTAAGCTTAAAGTAAGTTGCAAAAAATTCAAGGACTTTTCAGCTCCCCATGCTTTGCTATGTGTGGGTGCTCAGGAAGCTGGGGAGAGCACAGCCAGAGCAAAGGACCTGAATTGTCCAATGGGGTATTCCATATAATGCAACATCAGGCTTAGTACAGAGATGGGAAGTTGCCTGGGAAGTTGCTCTCACTCTTCCAGGTTTGCATTTTTGGCGTTTCTGTCCTCTGGGATTACTAGCTGGGAACAGGCTGAGTGTTGGTCAGCAGGTGGGGAGCAATTGCATTGTGCATCACTCACTTGTGTATGCTGCTGCTACTGCTATTATTATTTAAATTACTATTTTTCCAGTCATGTAATTGTTTTTATCTCAACCTACAAGTCTCCTCACCCTTACCTCTCCAATTCTTTCCCCCATCCCCAGAGCAGGGATGGTGAGTGAGCAGCTGTGTGGTGTTTGATGGCCTGCCTGTGAGCTGAAAGCCACTGCAAAGCAGAGGCTGTGGGATATCAACCCTGGGGTTTGTAGGAAGCTCCTCCTGGCTGCAGTGAGACTGCAGGTGTTGGATGTGTTGGGTTCCCCTGCTGTCACCAGCCCTTGGCACCTTGCAGAGCAGTTTCTGCTGCTGGGCTGAGGTGTGGGCTGGTGGTGCTCACAGCTCAGGAGCTGCCAGCTTGTGTGGGTTTGTAACCACAGCAGTTTGGTGCAGCAGTTGTTACTGGCTGAGCTGTGTCTGGGAAGAAAGCATCAACTGGGACTCAGTCTGAACTGTGCTCATGCTTGATACTTTCTAAACACAAAACAAGAGAACTTTGGGAGTGAATATTTGCATGTCATTCCATCTGGAATCTGAAAATGCAGCTGACAAGACTTTTTTGGTAGCATAGATAGGTTTAGCTACCAGACAGAACTGGGAGGCTGAGGGAGGAGCACTGATCCTTAATGACTTCTGGTTTGTTTTAGCATCTCCCAGATTTGCTGGGCAGGACGGGGCTGTTGGTGCAGCTGAGTGATGCTGCTCAGCCCGACGCGGAGCTGCGGCGGGCGGCGCTGCGCGCCATGGCCAACCTCTGCCTCAGGTGCGTGTGGGCCCTGCAGGGCTGGGCTGGGGGCTTTACCAGGGGTGCATCTGGCAGCATGGACAGCTGGTCTGCTCCATGGGTGCCAGGAACAGTGAATTCGGGACTAATAGGGTGTATATGCGTGATTTGAAATGTCAAATTTTAATCCTTGTTGGCAGGCTGGGAGAGCTGGGGTGTTGAGCCTGGAGAAGAGAAGGCTCCAGGCAGACCTTAAAGCACCTTCCAGTGCCTGGAGGGGCTCCAGGAAAGCTGGGGAGGGACTTAAGTGCTTGTAGTGAGAGGACAAGGGGGAATGGATTAAAACTGGAAGAGAGGAGATTGAGGTGAGACATTAGGAAGAAATTCTTTAGTGTGAGGGTGGTGAGGCCCTGGCACAGGTTGCCCAGGGAAGTTGTGGCTGCCCCATCCCTGGAAGTGTTGAAGGGCAGGTTGGATGGGGCTTGGAGCAGCCTGGGCTGGTGGGAGGTGTCCCTGCCCATGCAGGGGGGTTGGAACTAGGTGATCTTTAAGGTCTTTCCATCCCAAAACAGTCTGTGATTCTATGAATCCTCCAAGATATTGTAACATCTGTGGGTAAAACCATCAACTCTGTCTTCCAGAAATAATGTTATAGAGAGTAGTTTAGGGAAGAAAATAAAAAGTGTTGTGCTGTCTGCTCCCTGCAGTGATATTTTGGGTTAATTTTTATAAGAAATAATCAGCTACAAGTTTTTTTTATTTAACTTCGTGTAACTTCATAAACCTATGGGGACAGACTGTAAACCAACCAGTTGTCTCCTCCTGCTTTAATTTTAGTGTGCCTGGGCAGCCATACTTGGATGAGTCCTACAGAAGTATCTGTTTTCAAACTTTTCTAAGTGTTCTGCAGTCGTCAAAGACCTCTGACATAGATGACATCACTTTTTGCATGGTGAGTGTGAGTCAAATTGTCTAGAGTACTCTAATTAGGAGATTGTGCTGCTGGAATATTGGAATTTGGAAGGTATGACATTTGGAATATTGTCAACTGAGATTTTGCTTCAATAGTCAATTTTTAAAAAATAAACATAACTAACTGTCCCAGTGATTATGTTGAGCAAAACCATAATTGCCTTGAAGGTCACTTGAAAGATGGGAATCTTCACTGTTTTGGGAAGGAGAAATGAGGAATTCTGTGGTTTTGGTTTGCAGCTGCTGCAGAGTGCACTGAAAGGTATCCAGTCACTTCTAAATGGTGGGAAAATGAAACTAATGCAGACTGACCAAATTGGACCTCTTTTTGCAGTATTAAAGGTAAATATTTAAATCCATTTGAGAAAGGGGCAGACACTGGAATGTGCCTGTTCCAGATGCTTGTGTAGTTGGGCATGGTAGGAGAAGAGGAGAAAGAGGAAGCAGAAAAGCCTGGGTGTGTGTGGGGAAAGTGTAACGTGAGATACAGAGAAAGAGACATTCTGTTTCTCTCACGGCATCTTAACTTCACTTCCCACAAAGAAAGGTGAGAGAAGGAGGGGAGGCTCATTTTTTAAGACTTGCTGAAAATCCTTCTGGAGAGAATTTCAGATGTCGTGTAGCTGTGAGACAGCACGGGGACAGGCAGGGCCTGGGGGAAGGATTCAAGCCCAACTGAAAATGGATGAACACCTGAGTAAATACACAGTAAATCTTTGTGCCTCAAAAGAGGAAAGTGTGCTAAGTTTTTTGTTCCTGTTCCAGAAATGTATGTTTCATGGACTGCCAGGACTGAGCATAGAAGTGCCCGCAGCCCTGTACCCGGCCCCGCTCCCGCAGTACGACAAAAGGTCACCTGTCAAACAGGAACAATCAGAAACTACCACCTTTAAGCAGACAGGGGTGAGCTGAAATGACCCTGATTCCACTGCCTGGTGATGGTAGTGGCTAACAGGCTCTGTGTATTCTGAGAGGGTGATACATTTCGCATTCTTTGCTCTAAAAGTATTGATTCTAAATCTCTGCGCTGAGTAAAATTGCTTTGTAAACTCAGATGACAAGAACAAATAGCTCTGCAGAGATTGGTTTTCCTGCTTTAACCTGTGTGCATCCGTTATTCATCTATAGCCAAGAATTCTTGGCCTGCAGACATGGGATTGGTGCCTGCAGATCAGCCAAAGCTCTTTCTTTTATAAGTTACATTTTTCTCTCCTAACACTTGTGCAATTGTTTGACTCTTTCTTGGGGAAGTCAAGTTCATCCAGAGACTGATTTCCTCCCCCCTCCCATCTGTTCTGCTTAATCCTTCTACAGGTTATTTTTTAACCCTGTAAACATTTTGGATTACTGATTATCTGAAAGACATTAGAGAAAATAAAGTTGTGTAGTCATGTTGACTGGTTTTTTTTTAGATGCTAAATATCTAGCATATCTTTTAGATGCTAAAAGAACTAAGGAAGTATTTACTGTTCCTCTTTAGTCACTTCTATGTGGAATATGATTTTTAACTGCAAGATTTGTTGGAAATATTTTGCTTTACTAATGAAGAGGCCAAATTTTTCAGGCTGTTCAGATATAAATTACCTACTTCCACTAAGGTATTACTATACTGGTGTGACTGTTGTTGCTAATAAGCAGAGTTTGCAAACTCTCAGCTGCTAAAGAAGTGACTGTTTCTGTAGGTAGAGCACTGCACATACATGTAATTGCACTTATGTGCAGTATTATTGCAGCAGAAGGTGCAAAATAGCTGTGATGATTCTTGGTTAAATGAAATCTCATCTACAATCTCATTTAGAAGCTTGTATAATAGGATGTTGACGTGCTATACAGAGGGCATGATTTATTATATTCAACTCTGCTTTTCTTCTGGATTAGCAACTAGCTTTGCTTTCAGATGAGACCATTTTCCCTGAGTAAAGATTGGCAACTCTAAAACATTTGCACATCTTTCTGGGTATCACTTAAAAAAAAATATTTAAAAAATCAAATACTTTTTCTCTTAGAACCGAAGAAAAAAGTCCAAAGGGAGACAAAAGAAGGGAGAGTTGGGAGAAGAAGGAAAAGAAGATCTGGGTGATGCAGGAAAAGAATCAATCCTTCCATCTAACCTGCTGAAATTGCACCTGGGGGAGGTGCAGAAAAGTCCTTGCTCAGATCCTCGGAGTCGTGCATCGGATGTTGCTCCCATGCCTGCTGGGAAGGATCATTTGTCTTCACATCACACGAGTTGGAAAAGAATCAGCAGCAGTGAGTCAGAATATTCTGATGCTGAAGGTGGAATGCAGAGCAAAACGAGGTGATTTTTTGTAGACATAAAGCCTGGGAGCAGTGTGCTGCTGTTCGTGACGGTTGAAGCTCGTGTGTCATGTTAAAGCTTTTCCTGCAGATCTGGCACAATTTCTGCAGGTCTGCAGGCTCTTGCACTTCCACAGGATCCTGGTGCTTTGTTCTGAATCAAAACTGTTGAGGAAATCACTCCTCCTTTTGATTTATGTGGTGATACAAGATTGGAAGGCAGTCATTTGTATTGTTTTGAAAGTAAATTTGTTCTTTGCCTGTTCTTGGTCTAAAAAGATGTCTTCTCTCAGCCACTAATATAAGTGGAAGAGATTAAGTCCATTACTCTTCTCTGCTGCTATTTAATAAATATTTTTGTTTGTTTTTAAGATCTTACCAAGCCAATGTTCGTCAAGGGGCTCTTGCCTGTTTCCTCTCTGCTATAAAATCAATAGAAAAAAGAGTTCTTTATGGCTACTGGTCAGCATTTGTCCCTGATGCTCCTGGTATTGGCAGCCCCCAGTCTGTGTCCTTGATGACTATTGCTTTGAAGGACCCTTCTCCAAAGGTGAGGCAGTTCTGAGGAGACAAAATATTCCAGTTCTGAGGAGACAAAGCATTCCTTTTCCCATATTAATCTTGAGAGTTCTCTTCTCTGGCCTTCACTGAGTTCACTTTGGTTACTGCTTGGTCACTGCACCACAACAAACAGAAGAGGATGTGTTGGTCAAGGAAACCATGCTTAAGAGAAAAGAGAGTTTCATTTCCTCTTGCTGAAGAAAAGCACTTTCATCAATTTTAAGATTCTCTGTCAGCTCCAGGGAGTTGTTAAAGGTGGGTAACAGAAATGTTCTATCATTTCAGACCCGTGCCTGTGCTCTTCAAGTTCTCTCAGCCATTCTGGAAGGTTCCAAACAGTTTCTTTCTGTTGCTGAAGATGCCAGTGATCACAAGAGGGCTTTTATTCCCTTCTCTGTAACTATTGCTTCCAGCATCCGGGAGCTGCACCGCTGCCTGCTGCTCGCCCTGGTGGCAGAGTCCTCCTCTCAAACCCTGACACAAATAATCAAGGTAACTGCACTGTTGAGTGTTTCAACTGCTGCCTAAAGACCACTAGGTCTATAGATCAAGTCTTGAAGATTTTCACAGAAATTATTGTAGCTGTTGAGGACAAAGGTGGTGGTGGAGAAAAGGCTGTTGTTATCTCACAAGGCTCCACAGACTGAGTTTTCCTACAGAGTCCTACAGTTTCTTTTCAGCACAGTTCTCTTGTGTAGTCTTTTTGGAGCTGAACGTGACTGTGAAATGATTCTGAAGAGTCACATTGGCTTTGAAACTGGAATCCAGATTGGAAAAAAAAACCTCTCCATGGGCTGTTGAAATTCCTTGGTCTTTATGCCAGGTCACAGTAGTGTTTAACACTCGTTCTTAGGAGCCAAATTTGTAACCAGTTTTCGAACAGCAGATAATTGGGGCATTTGTTTTCAGGTGCCCTCAGATAATTGCAAATATAAAAACAAATCTGCTGGAGGCCAGGCTGACACTGGAACCACCACCTCATGGATGTTCTTGTCTGTTTCAGTGCCTTGCAAATTTGGTTTCCAATGCACCCTACAGCCGCTTGAAACCTGGGTTGCTGACAAGAGTTTGGAACCAGATAAAGCCATACATTTGTCATAAAGGTTTGTGTTTGGCTGCCTCTTTTTATATGCTATGTCTTAAATCAACATTTTTTTTATTACAAAATAGTTGTGGGGTTTTATTTCTTTCTCTATGCCTCATAAATAATTATTTATTACTAGAGAATTATGTTATGATCTGTCTTGTCCAAAGCCCCTGGAGAAGGATGCTGAGGTGCCAGCTGCTAACAGACTGGTTTTCTGTTTTTTTTTTTCTTCCCTTCCCCTATTCTTTCTTGCAGATGTTAATGTTAGAGTCTCCAGTCTGACCTTATTAGGAGCTATAATATCTGTCCAAGCACCTTTACCAGAGGTGCAGTTACTTTTGCAACAGCCCAGTTCTTCAGGGCTAAATAATAGTGGTAGCTCAACGCCTCACCGTTCTAACCCCTGTGAGCAGGGGAGGAAAGCCCTGCTAGCAGCAGGGGAGCCTCCAGAGCACCCAGCAGGATCTGCAGCTCCAGAGCCCTGCTGGCTTCTCCGTCTCTGCGTTTCCATCACTGTTCTGCCCAGAGAGGATTCCTGTTCTGACGGCGACGTGAACTTCCCGTCGTTGTCCAGCGTTTATGAGCCCTGTCCCCTTCGCCTGGAATCCTTACAGGTGGGGATGAACAGCCTGTAAAATGAGCAGCTTTGGGACAGCTCTGGGACAAGACCAAATTGCCTGCTGGCAGCCAGGCCTGACTCCTGGGCTGCCTTTGCTCCTCCCTCTCTCGGTGAGATTTAGGCTGAAGCAGCTGTTGGCACAGCATGGCTGAGCTGCACTGACTGGAAGAGCAGTGACATTTTGATTCCTGTGGCCACAGCTTAACCCTCCCATAGCAAACCTGCTGCAGTCAGTTCATCTGCCTGGGAGTTTGGTTACCTTTGTTATTTTCAAATACTAGCTGGCTGGGTGTTTGTGCTGGCATCTGGTGAAGGCTGTGAGTCTTCCCCATTCCAACTCCTCAAACTAAAGGGGTGCCTGTCAGCGTTCAGGCTTGGCCTGTTGTTCCTCATGTAACCACAGAAAACAGGAAGATTCTGTAACGTGTGCTGGGGATTCTCACTCTTTTTCTGGAACAATGGATATTTGCTGAATCCAGCTTCACAGAACACAGGACAGGAGAAACAGGATGTGCTGCTCTTACAGGTGCTCTTGCGTAGTGTTTTAGCTATAGGAGACCTCACTTAGAGTAAATAATTCATTGTCTTGCTACCTGATAGTGCTTTTGTGGCCCTCTTTGGAACAAGATCGTGGAATAGGGAAGTTTTTAATTAGCTGTAGTATTCTAGAAGTTGTGCTGCAAGGTGTATCTGTTACATCAAGGCTTAGTATGTGATCCCAGTGTTGATTAGCCCAGTAACATCCTCTGTGTGTGTGTTTGGGGTATTCTGGTTTAATAGAAGGAAGAAAACAAAACACTTGACTGGAATTTCTTTTCTTTGTGTTTAGGTGTTGGCTCTTCTTGTGAAAGGTTATTTCTCTATGGCTCAGAGCTATTTCCTAGAGCTTGGAGAAGTGGCTTGTAGATGCATGGAAGAAATGGATCCATCCATTCAGCTTCATGGAGCCAAAGTAAGAGCATGAGGAAACATCAAGTCAATTTTATCTGTTAGCATGTTTGGCAAATGCAGATGAGTGGTGACGAATATTCAGAGCATCTGTGTGTGTGGTGGAGCCCACCATAAAGAGCTGGTGCTTGCTGGAGCTCTGGGAGGTGCAATACCCTGACACTTTAAGTTATGTACCTTCTCTTTCCAGTCTTGAATTCTTAACAGAATTCTGTTGCTCTGCTGAGTCACCAGGAAGCTTGGGAAAGGCAAGGATTATGGCACTGGTCCTTCCCTGATTTAACATCAGCTGGTGTAGGAACTGTCACCCAAAGGAAAGCTCAGAGAGATTTGCTCTTTGCACAGCAATTTCTTCTATTCTAGCTGGAGACTTTATGTAAGAAAGGCTTTTCCTCCAAATTCTTTACTAGCAGGGGCAGAATAGAGTCCAAAACAGCACTGAATCTTTTATTTTTGTTCTCCAGGTAGGTAAGTATAGTCCTAGGTAAAGGTTGCCATAGTTCCTGGTATTCAGTCATCCCTGATAAAGACCCAGTTGTTTTTTGTTTCCTTGCAGCTTCTGGAGGAGCTGGGCACAGGAGTGCTGCAGCAGTACAAACCTGATTCACCAGTTGCTCCTGATCAGAGGGTACCAGTCAGTGTGGTAAGTGTGTGGGATCCCTCTGAGATTCCACCTCCCTGAGCTTCCTTCCTTGAACTCCCTCCAAAGTCACTGGCATGGATGCAGATCAGTGAATTGCAGGAAAGCAGAGAGAGGGACTCACAACCCTGGAGGTCTACAATTTCTGTAGATTTCCTGCATTATTTTGATGTCTGTACACAGGTGTGTTGTTTTGGTTTGGGTTTTTTACATGCTGGAAGAACAGCTCCCATTTTGCATGTATCATTAACTGCTGCATAAAACCTAGAGTTACACTTCTAGAGTTCTGGTGAATTTGTGTTGTCACAAGAGCCAACCTGCTTGTTCACAGGTGCAGAGGGAGGGACCAAAGCCACAACATACGTGATTTCAGAAAAATTCATTGTTTCAGTCTGTTGGATAAGTTTGCAGAAGCTGAGGAACTGACATTCTAGTAGTAGAACAGGCCTGTTTACCTCTTGCTTCTGTGGACAGAAGGCAAGTTTCAAAATGTCTTTGGTGTAAGCTCAGTTTTGAGCCAGTCACCAGTGGCCCTGCAAGGCAGGAAACATGTCCAGTAGCACCAGTTTCCTGTTACTGGATATGGATGTGAATTGTCAGGCAAATGAACATACCTAGCTGAGTGGATTCAGAAATGGGATATTAATTCTACCTAATGCAATCCGAGTGGATGTGGCCCTGGGAAGGAAACACACAACTCAGTGGATAAGTCCTTGATAGCAGGACTAAAATGTTCTTCAAATGTTCCTGCATGCCCAGTATTTTAGGCTTCTACACCTATAATCACTTCCAGGTGCTGTAAGTGTGCCTGAAAAGTGATCATAGAAAAAGACAATCTGTTGGGAGAATTTGGGCATAATGATTGAGTTTAATTAGGTAAACCTGGCTGCTTCCTCTCTAGGTGGTAACTTTCTGGACAATGATGTTAAATGGCCCTTTACCTGGAACCCTCCAGAACTCCCCACACGCGACTCTGCAGACGAGTGCCTGTGATGCCCTGTCCTCTATCTTGCCAGAAGCTTTCAGCAGCCTGCAGGTGAGAGAGCACCCCTTTCAACCTGCCATTTTTACTGATGGAGGTTTTGTTCTGCTTTACCAGATTGCAATAGTGTAAAGACTTGGAAAACTTTTCTAGGGAGAGGGTAGAGAAACCTTCCAGAATTAATTTCTTTACATTCTGAACAAGTTGTGACCATTGAAGGCTGGAAAAAGCAATGCTGGGGGTAATTAGTCTGTCAAAACAATTGAACTGTGGGTCACTGAAGCTGTTTAGGCCCTGCTATGAACACCCAGCCTTGGCCATGATGCACAGGAGATGGAGGGCAAGAATTTCATGGCATGAGGAAGGGCTGAAGATTGTTCTTTTAGTGGTTAATTCTTTGAAGACACAGCTGAACTAGCAGCCGTGGCCTGATGTTGTTCACCAATTTGCATGCATGTTGGTTTGTTTTTTTAATTTTGGCTGGCTTTTAAAACAGTGCACTGTGGTGATTGCCCTGGCAGGAGCAAACAAACGTGTTGGCCTTACTCTGTTTCTGCACCATGAAATATGCTTTAAAACATGAAAGCCTTGGCAGTGTCTCACCACTGCATTGTGCAGCTCCTTCTGTGTCACTGTGCCCTTCTTGATGGGGAGTGCTCTGCCAGGGCTCATTTGCCCCAGAATTGCTGGTGCAGCAGTATCTCTGGAATTCTCTGTCTGGTTTCTCCAAGTACAGCATGTACTTCATCACCCTGTACTTTGATCCCCTACACTCTCTTATCCCTCTGGCCAGTTGGGGTCAAGTCAGTGCCCATTATGACCCTTTGCTCTGATGAAACAAAGATCTTTGTCATGGGTTGGTGAACTGACAATTTGTCCAGGATGAACTTAATCTTCTTGGCTGCTTTCATTAA